GAATTTCATAATCGATGGGCAAAGCAATTGTTAGTGGTGATGTGGGACCCACTTGCATGGATTTAGTGTGTTTTCGCCGGATAGCATCTGACATGGCAAAAATTTTATCCATGTCATCACTTTTTGAAATTTTGCTCTCCACATCATCAAAAAAAATATAAAAAATGCCACGTAAACAAGGTTAACGGCCCAAATTAATAGAAGGACTAACGGAGTGCATTTCGTATAGTTGAGGGATCAAAAAAGTGCAAAAAATTGTTGAGGGACCAAAAATGTTCATTTCTTAAAGTTAAGGGACCAAATTAAGCATTTAACCCATTATGTTTCATACAATTTAGGAATGCATCTCGCACATGGTGATTATCTGCAGGATCCCACGGGTAAAGTGTTTGCAAAATAAGAAATAAATAACATTAGATGTCTGAGAAATGTAAATTCTAGTTTAGTAATGAAATTATTTATTTTTGTTAGAAATTGCTAAATCCGTTCATTTTATTAAATTTGCTAAAACTTAATCTTACCTTGAAACAATTATAAATTTCAGCAATCTTGCTTTGAGAGACACGCTCGTATGTGAAATACGGGCCATCAAAATGTGACTTCCATAGTGAAGTGATAGCCCGAGGGATGTTTGGATCAGCAAACTGGAGCTTATCATCAGTGAGTTTAACCCATTTCTTGCTCTCTCTCTATTTTCTAGAGGGCGTATTCCTTTGAAATTCCTACTCCATCTTTTTTTCCCCGTCGAGGAGGAAGGGCCCTTGTTCTCATGATCAGGTGCAAAATTATAATTCATTAATGGATCAATCGTTTGCTGTATATCTGGAGCTATAATAGTATTAGTAAGCAGTTGTGGGTGATTAAAATGGTGTTGCTCTTGTGATCCTGAGGAGGAAGATCTCCTCCTTGTTGAACCTGCAGGATTTCCAGACATCCTGAAAAATGAATAACAAAATAGTTATTAATACATTTATACAAATAATAAGTAACAAATTTAGAACAATCATACAATGATTCTATTTTAAATGAAAAATATATAACTTGATAAAACAACATATGTAAGACAAAGAAATTTTAATACATATATTTAATAAGTAATAATACAAATGTTTCAATTAATCATCACTATCATCGCTATCATCACTATCATCGCTATCATCACCATCCTCAACATTATCACTATTTCCTGAGGATTCTGAATCTTTTTCTGAATCTTTTTCTTCTCCATAGTCCTCATCTTCTTCAGATGTATTAGCATCAACCTCAACTTCTGTAACACCTTCTGCACATAGTTGAAGTGACTGGTATGCAGTTAAATCTATAGCTAATGAAGAGCCTTGCATTATGGAGGGGTCATCATCTTGAAAAATATCATCAACCTTTCCTAAAGATGAGGTAGATGAGGTCTCAATTAGATGTCTAGATTTGATTTTACATGTTGCCAACCATCCCCGGGTAGTTTTATCCGTGGCTGTCGGATATGGAGTATAATAAACTTGTTGTGCTTGACTAGCAAGGCAAAATGGCTCCCCCGTTGAAAGTTTAAACCTTGGATTGACATCAACAATTCTGTGTTCAACATTGACACGTATACCTCGGTTCGTGTCATACCAATCACAATTAAACAATATTATAGTCTCTTGATAGCCTGAGTGCCCATAATACAATAACTCGATCACCTCTTTTAAGACACCATAATAATCAGTTTCATCTGCAGAATTAATGGTGGTTCCTTTAATACAAACACCACAGTTTTCTAGTACTAGTAAACTCTTCAGTCAAAAATTTAAAGCCGTTCACATAGAACCCATTATAAACATTCACTTCAAAGATTGGGCCAACT